CTAGTTCAGTATAGGTATTCAGCACAAAGTATTTCTTCAGTTAGGCTTTATGTTAATATTAAATTATTATGTTAATATTAAATATTAAATTATGCGCAATTTATTTTAAAATATAAAGTGATGCTTGTACATTTATTTGTAATTAATAAATAATAGAAAAAACCTCAAATATTTCTTTATCTTCTTTATCTGCGGCAAAGGCATAAAAAAATAAAGAATCATAGCTTCTTGCACGCTCATTGGCGTAAGTGACATCCTTTAAAGTTATTCCGTAGAAATATATGCAAAAAACATGTATCCATCCCGCTTTACGCTGTGCTAAGTAAGCATAAGCCCATTTGTAGACGCAATAGTAACAAGCACTCTTTGCTATTGTAGTTGTTCACTTGTAACTGTTGCTCTTTACTACTATTTCTTCTCCACATACTGCATCAATTTAACCGGCAAAACGGATTTCTCTCGTATGGATGGGATGAGTCGAACAATTTTTGTGTTTTGATGTACGACACACGTTGATAGACCTTTTTGCATAGGCCAACAATTGATCTGGTTTTATGATGCTAGTTAAGAAGGTTAGGAAATCTAACGCGGTACACGTATTATTAAGATTTGTACTCGGATTTTCGATAGTATTGAAAATTTTATCCGTCCAATTCAATTTGAGCTCAAAGCGTTGAGGCCAAACATCCGGATGCATAGCGGTTTTCAATAAAATAATGCATCTAGAAGAATTTAAAATAATTATTGCTGTCACAATCGCATAAAAGGTCAACCAAATAAATCTTACCGTCAGGGCAAATTATCACCGGAATTTAAAATTGTAGGCTGGCTATCGTTAACTTGACAGGCTAAGCCTGACATAAGAAAATTGAAAACAGTATCACAATAAACTTTACCGACAAGTTTCGTCTAATTTGACACTTGAAGAAGCTTCGGAGATATCTACAAAAAAAAATGTTTGTTGTACTAAGCAAAAATTGAATTAACGAAGAGAAAATTAAATGAAGTAGTTACGACAGCTATTTCCAAAGATAAACATGTAAAAGCCCTATATTAGGGCATGGCTCATCGTTAGGTACTTTACACCACTTCGCTTACTAGTTATTCATACAATGGCTTTTCAAAATAAGACCTTATATGGTGAGTGGGCAAAAAGGCGACCGAATCCGAGCCATTTTCGATAGCGTGCATCCTTGGGACAAGCTCTCCCAACAAAATATCTCAAAAATTGCGATTTATAAAGTGAACAAAAAACGCAAGACAGACAGACGTCCAGACATAATAAAGGGCGAATCTATGGGCAAGAACCTTGTGGGTATTATATACATTCGCACAAGTTTAACATGCCCTTGTAGCACAAGTGATGTAGGGTATGAAAACGCAATCATGGATTTTGATTACGCCAAACGGATCAACACGGAAAATCTACTTTCACCGACAGCAAGCGAACTAAATTCGTCTTTTGTTCAGGAATTCAAAATTTCTCTTACTTACTATTACGAGCGTTCTCTACAGCCAGCTTTTTGCGGTAACTTTCCGCTTAAGTCCATCGGTTTTAAGCTATGCTGAAGTGGCAAGGGTATCTCCGCCCAGAGCCGCCACTCACTTTAATCAAGTGCCATCGCCTAAAACTAATGAAGAGAAAAATAAGTCATCCTCTCCTCCTGGCTGTTCGCGTGTGAATGCTGGTCTCCAGACTGGGCAAGTCTCACAAGCTGCCGGTACAAGGGCGATAACCCCATCTATATTTTCCCCA